CTTCGGGGAGGGGGTCACGTGATCTCGGGAAGGCGTGACCTGGGGGTGACCTCAAGGCCACGTGACCCCAAAGGTGACCCCCACGTGACCTTGGGGGTCACGTGAACTGGAGGGGTCACGTGACCTCGGGGGGTCACGTGACCTCAGAGGGGTCACGTGACCTGGGGGTCACGTGGGGTCACGTGACCTTGAGATGATCTTGGAAGGGGTCACGTGACCTTGGGGGTCACGTGGCCTCGGGGGTCACGTGACCTTAGGGAGGCGACCACGTGACCTCGGGGGTCACGTGACCTCAGAGGGGTCACGTGACTTGGGGGTCACGTGACCTTCAAAGGGTCACGTGGGGTCATCTTGGGGTCACGTGACCTTGAGATGACCTTAGAAGGGGTCACGTGACCTCGAGGGGTCACTTGACCTTCAGGGGGTCACGTGGGGTCACGTGACCTTGAGATGACCTTGGGAGGGGTCACGTGACCTTGGGGGTCACGTGACCTTGGGATGACCTTAGTTACGCCGACGCCGACGGCGACGCCAACGGCGACGCCGACGGCGACGCCGCTCAAGCCGGGAACGGGCCCCTAAGAGCTGCGCTCTAAAAACGGACAACATGAACGCATTCAGCACAGACGGCAAGGCAGCACTGCGGGCTCGACAGCTCCACCAAAAAGTGGTTGGTAGATTTCTTAGCAAAAAGACCATACGGTTTACCAACCTGCATGGCGAAGACAAGCGAATTAGTGGCCTGTGTTGTAGCACAGCCACCGAGCCCACAGAGCGCCGCCGGTGGTCGTCGCTGCTTTGTAATTGCGGCGTCTGGACGTGTTGGTGTCGATTGTGCCTTCCATGGTTGGTCGAGGATCCAGTGCTCCAGTGGAGGCGCAGCCAGAGGTGGTAACTCACTGTGGGACAGCAGAGAGTAGCCATTCACGCTGTGCCTATCTGAGAGGAGTGCACAGCCCGGACTGCCATCCGAAAGAGCAGTCAGCAGTGTAGGAAACAGCACGTGGGAGATGAAGGAAGCAAAAACCTGCATGGCGAAGACAAGCGGATTAGTGGCCTGTGTTGTAGCACAGCCACCGAGCCAACCCCTTATGTGCACAGATTTCATACCCTGCCCAAATGAGCCCTCTCGAACCGTCACAGATGAAGTGAATCCTACGGATGGAGATGGCCAAGACTGGCTACAGGAGGGATGTGGCAACACATCACGCTCTCACACAAGAAGAGGACGCTGCATTAGACGTTCATCTCGATATTCAGACAACTAACTACCCCAAGGGAAGGGGTGTGGCTGGTGTCGGCTGGTGTCGGCTGGTCACGCCTGGTGGCCACATCGAGCGAGTTATGGAAGACGGGAAAGTGCTCATGTTTGCACGGGCACCAGTTATCTATCGAACGCTAGCGGGACTGAAACAATGTCAGGAACGGCTATACTTGTGTAAATAGGAGCAATGACATTAAAAATAAGTGAGTATTATTATAAAGCGAATCGTCGAGTTTAATGCGGGAGCAAACTGCTCGCTTATATAAGAGGTGCCAATTGGCGAGAAAATTGTTCTTTACGTCAAAAAATATTTGATTCTCACCAAAGATCGCTTAGAACGTTCTATGTCACCAAAAATGCTGTCCCTAGAAAAAGTGAAAAATGTCGGAGCCTCAGTCGTCCAGTGAAAGCTGTTTCTAGTTTGGCAGGAAAAGAGCGTAAAACGTTCTTTGGGAAAAAAGAAAAAAAAACCAACACGTAGAAGCCACAAGAAAGTAGAGGAAGCCTGCAAGTGGCTTTTTCGCCTACAAGTAGATTGAGGAGAATGAATTAGATCCTCTGAAGTGGTGGAATTTGCGCCAGCCGCAGTTTCCGTACCTCATTCTTGTAGCGCAGTTCGTGCATGCCACTTTAGCATCGAGTGTACCAACGGAAAGAGACTTTTCATTAGCGGGTATTAATTTAAGAGTGGCGAACCAGTCTGAAACCGTCCATGGTTAAGATACTCTCTTTCTTCTACACAGCAAGCTCGACAAGTGAAACGTTGCGCGTGGGTTCGTTTTCTTTCTCCGGAAAGTTGGCACTGAGTTACTTTTAAGTATATGGTTCCGAGCATGCAGTTGAGGGTTCGTGTTTACAACTGCAATTGATAGGTGTTGTTGTCATCATCGAATATTGTAATATTTTTCAAACGGCATACTCGCGCCTTACCACATATACACGAGTATACTTTGCTGTACTGAGCGAGCGCTTTTCCTCTGTCACTTTCTTTTTTGTTCAAAATAAAATGACACGATATTATTAGTCAGTCCTTCGTTAAACTCTATGTTTATAAAATATGCGTCTGCTTGAAGTGGGTTTTACAAAGCAAAAAGGAAAATAAATATTAAAATGTCCTTTCATTTTGAGCATATCTTGTTGACAGAGTGTCAGTGTAACGGACTCCCAGACGATCTCATCACTGCGATTATCTTTCCAGAGATGCGAAGTGTCTCAGGAAGGATGATCGCTTATTTTCTATATGCGATAAAACAAAATACGATAAAATGGCTTTGACCGTATTCTGACACGAAGAGGTCTTTGTACAGAGGTAAGCAGACGGCTTATAAAATATAATCCAGATGCTTTTTTTTTTTTTTTTTATTCACGCTTTATGACGTAAAATAAATGCGCGGATTGAGGGTCGGATACGGTTTCGAATTTTGCGGGTGCGGTTCGGATACGGATTGCGGATAATTAAAGGAGCGATGTTATAATTTTTGTACTTTGCGCAAGAACCGTTAAGAATGGATCCCTGACGTTAATGACCTATAAAACACGGGTTTGTTTTTCACCCCAAGCAATCGAAGTCTCCGCAAAAAAAAAATTAAAGAAAAACGAGCAGCGTTCACCCCAGCGTTCACCCCCTCAACTCGCAGCCAGAACAAGCGGCCACGTGATCTGGAGCCCATTTTATGCCGCTAATGTAGATCATAGCCACGCGCTGGTTTGGCAAGGCACAGGACACGCGCTGAGTTCCAGACATTGTTATGACTCGGCTATTGTCGTCGTTCCAGCGATCGGACACGGACCACTACCCGAATGCTTCTCGAGCTAGTAATTATCAACGACCCCAATTCGAGTGCCCACGCAATGCTCGGGTCCAATCTATGAACCGCACTCAAATACCGTCATTGGGGTGTACTGCGATCCCCACGTTACGTCATCACAATTTCAAAGGAGAGATTGAGTGAAAATGATTGTTTTTGCCCTTGAAATTACACCGCAACAAAGAAGTTTCTTGGCCAGTGGCGTTGCGTGCGAGTATCCTTGAGTCCCACTTGTGCCAGTAAGCTCGTGTAAAGTAAAAAAACATTCCAATTGAATATCGTTGCACCGCCCATTTAAATTGTTATGCGCGAAGGCCTCTCCTCATCATCACTTGCGAATGATAAGTTCCATGGTGTGCTTAAAAGCACGTGGAAAATTGGAGTCATCGCACCAGTCCCCAAGCACGTCATGACCCCATGATTTCTCATTTTTATTTTGAATTGAGGATTAAAGTTAGGAGGATGAACATGAAAAATAATATCGTAATCCCTACAAAGCACGCAAAAAATATGCTTCCTCTGGAAAATAGTCATGTTCAATCACATGGGTTGTTTCTTGTCTTACCTTCTCCTCATCTCGATCAAAAAAAAAGAGGATTGCTCGATTTCGCCTTTTTTGTATACCACACACGCACTACATAATGTATTTTAAACCTAATATGAATATTTTATTATATTTAGTTTGTGCAGTTTTTTATTTAGATTACTACAAACAAACCTGCGTTAAGTAAATTGTGTCGGAGGGTTTATAACCAGTCCGGTGTGACAGAGAAAAATGCGAGCTATTGATTTGACACCTCTAAAATCTAGGCCATAAGAGCTCAATCTCCATTCAAAAAGAACTCCTTTATCTGTACGACACCACCTCCCACACTCTTTTTAAGCCGTCCGTGTAGTGCTGACGTAATGTCTGTTAACTATCAAAAACGTTCTTACACATATCACATTTCAGAACGGGTCCGATTTGACTAAAGCAGCAAACCAACACCATCACTCAACAGCCGTCCTGTGTCGTGACTCGGGTTGTTATGAAAAGCAACCCTCGTCGAACGTTCACAGCCGAGTCCTGAAGTATTTAAAACAAGACTGCACTCTAAAGCCCGGGTCACACCGCTTATACACCTTTGCATGAAAGCGTATGAGGGCGCTTTCATTGATGTGTTCCTGTGCTATGCACGCGCACTTTCTGGCTGGCCGCGATTGCGAGCGAGCGCTGGCTGGACTGTGGTTCAGAACGTGTAAACTGCGGCTTTTTTTTAAACAGTGCAAACGTGCATGCATCATAAAAAAATAGTCAGCAAACAACATTCAACGCAATTGAACGCACGAGATTCGTGTTTCGAATGTCGCATGGCAACGAGTTCAAAGAAAATTTTGCACGCGGCATTCCAACCACGAATATCGCTGTGATTGATGTCTGCACACTGTCTTTTGTATGATGTACAAGCACTGTGACTCCGGCTCAAGAGTAATAGCAAAACAATTTAACACAACTTGTGCCAAAACGTTTATATCAGTGTTCTTCCGCAATTCAGGGTCTTCGTCCATTCTGCCTGATCTTGGAGAACGACTTCAAAAAACAGCTTTTAAGGTACGCAAGAAACCGAGGACACCACAGTCCTGCCTCTTGAAGCGCTTTCTTTATTGCGTCTTCGCCAACCTTTCTAAGGGACATTTCATATGAATGAACATCGCAAGCTACGTGCTCGTCTCGCCACTTTTTTGAGTCCCTCTATCACACGGCATATATAAGAATAAATCAATTGTACTGTCTTCCGTGACCTTCAGAGCCCAGCCAAATATAAGGAAAGGTTTTGAAACTAAAAAGAAGCAGACAGTATGGATACAGCCCCTCCGTCCACAAAAAAAAGAAAAAACAGCACTTTTCATTGCGTAGTCTTTCTTTACGAGGTTGCTTGGTGCGCCGGCTAAGTACTTGAGTCGGCGCCGCCGCTGCCTAGCGCATCAACGATATTAGTTAACTGCGCCTCAAGCTCCAAGTACAGCTTGGTATTGATATCCTCTACGGGAAGACCTTGCCCTCCGGCGTCAAACGCGCTTTTCATTTTCAATAGCGCATGGTGTAAGCCGACATAGCTGAGAGACGCCGTCGTGATTCGGCAGAGGTAGTCTTCCTGCACTGACGCAGCTTCTGCCCGAACCGCCATCAAGGCACATTTCCACAGCAAGCGCAGAATCATTCGAAACGCGACCGCTTCGAGATGCTCATCAAGCATCCTGATACGAGTGTCCAAGTAATGTTGCAACAAGTACAGTTTCTTCTCCTGAATGCATTCCGAGCTCGCGTTCGCAACTTGGGACAAGCTCGCACAAAGTTCGGGTTTCAGTTTATCCGCGGCCTCGGAACACACGCGGGTTACAATTGCGAGCGTCTCGTCGAGCGCCAGTTCCAAGCAGGAAACGATCTGATTCGCATTGGGAGCGAGACCTGAGTCCCTCGACAGAAAAAGTTCCAACTGAGCGAGGGTGTTCTGTAGAAAGAATGACATGGACGTCAGGCTGCTGATAGCGACGCACAGCTGTCTCGAAATCTGGAATTCCCCGACAGCGTCAAAATATCGTTCGGCTGAGATTCGATGGGCCAGACACTTCGAAAATTGCAGACCGCCCTCGCCCACGCATGTCGCGAAAGCGAGGGCACAGCGGAAGTCCCGGAACTGGAGCTCTTCCCATAATTGGACGTAACGGGTGGTAAAAATGTCCAGTGTGTCACGAACTGCGGTACCGTATTTGATGTCACGAGCAAGAGGTGACATGTCGTCTTTGCTAACGGACTCTGAGATCCATCCAGACACTGGGACTTTGGCGAAATCAAACCAAAGCATCACCGTTTCAGATCCAAACCACTCTTCAATCGTATCCAATTCAAGTTTCTCTCTCTCAACTGGTAGCATCTTGTTCAACGTGCGATGAAAGTCGTGGAGGCGATAAAATGCCCTAAGGCTCATTTCAATTTTTGCTGAATATCCGGTTTCGGTTTCTTTTGTCCCGTCCTGCAGTTCAGAGCAAAATTTTCTCAAACCAGGCTTGAAAGTACTTGAGAGAAAAAAATCAAGCTCCTTGCGCACAATCTGACTGTACGTTTCGTTCCATGCAGACTTAAAGATTTTATCCGCTTCTTCGTGATACGCCTGTATGGTTGAAAGCACGTTGCCAAGGCACTGACAAAGCGAGGAAAAATCTTCGGATCTCAAGTCTTCCCTGTTCACAAGACTTTCGTACCAAAGAGCCGCTTCGCCCCTTACCACAGTGCTCGCAGGGTCGGTTATCTCGATAGCACTTAAAGCTTCGATTGTGACGCAGCAAAACAGAAGCCCTGATAAGTCCATACGCTGGTGCTCTTTTTCTAAACTAAATTTCTCGTGCAGCCCGCTGAAGTTAGCCGGGCACATTTTGGAGAGGGCCTTAAGGACAGTCTCGAGAGCTTTTGAAACAAGTTCGTGGTGCGCGTCGACAAGCAACCATTTCATCCGTGCAAGCAACTGGTAGAGGACCGAGAAGTTCACTCGTACTTTGTTCGACCTTGAAACATTTGTTAGGGCCGTTATGCGGCAAAAACATTGTTCGATCTCTACTATGCCCTTGCTCAGTGCGTGCCTGAATAGCAACGTTAAGCCTTCTTCGGAAAGACACTCGTCCCACTCGCACCAACTAAGAGCAATGTCAGGATGAACCGCCGTGGCATGCTGAAGAAGAAAAACGAGGCTGAGGCAGTAGTGTGACTTCAAGACAGCCCACGCGTTTGGGGGGTTGGTACACTGGCACTTGAATCCAAGCTTTAGGTAGATTTTTCCGTAAGCTCCCTGCCTACGCTTATCCTTCAGCAGGAGACACATCTCGCCTCCCGTGCAGGGAATCTCGCTGATGGTCTTGACGGCGCTTCCCATAAAGTCGTCTGCGCTGCGATAGCAGACCACCTCGAGGAATTCCCGGAGGAAGACTAAACAGGAGGCACACGAACGCACGTCATACAGCTCCCGACAAACGCCACACAGGGTTCGCGGGTCCTTGTCCCAAACTTCAATGCAAAAAGCGTCATTCGCCGGGTCCTCGATTCGAATCTGAAAAGCTTCATTCCAGCACGGATTGACGGTTTTATGCTTCACGCTGCTGTGCTGCGCTTGGGAAGAGCCGACGCGAAGGACGCAGAAAGGGTCGGACATGCCACTCACGTCTTTGGCGACAAGATCCTCTGCCTGGACGAGAGTGACGTGTAAGTCAACTCGGACTTCCGGAGATTTCCCAGCGGCTTCGAGGAGTTTTTCTTCGTTCGTGCTTTGGAAGATCTCCTTGAATGCCGTCCTCACGTAGTTTTTCATCTCTTGCTTGATGGCTACATAGGGCTTGGTTGGTTTTCCGATGTCTCGCTCGGAGAGTAACAGGCACTCAACGCATAGCCAGAAGAAGTCTTGCGTGGAGATAGTTTCGAAGATCTGCCCGAGCTCCGCGTCCAAGGCTTCGTCCTTCGCAGACTTCGAGTGCTGGTTTTCTGGAACACTGATTTTGCTCATTCACGTCTTTCGAAACTACTTATATTCAACGACACTCTAGCTCGTGCAATCGTCATCGTCTATTGGTACCGGCGAAAACTGAGATCGAACCAGACTGGCCCAAACCACCTTTTCAGAAATTAATATGGCGCGTGAGCACAATTATCGACGATCCTAGGTTTCAGATTGCGCGCTACCAAAAAGGATAGGCCAATTTGTATGTTCTGCACGAGCAACAGTTTTGTGCTACCTTGTCAAAGCTAGCTCAGCTTTCAAAGTTTACCAACTCAGTCAAAAATAGTTTCGCGAAAGCAAGCGAATGAGGCGTAAAAGACAAAGTCACGCGCTCTCGCAGCAGTATACAGGACTGCTGCACAGTGGAAACTACACTAGCCTTGACAATGCAGCACAAAATAGTTGACGCAGAGTACAGGGAGTATTCACTGGACGTCACATTTGTGGGTGCTGTTTAGAGCGCATGCTCAGAACGAGCTCATATCAATAGGCTGCTAAGACCGGCACTCTTGATGGTGCGTAATGCACGTTGCAAAAGAACTGTGGAATCTCGCCATCAGCACGCACTCAGCATCCGCGCACACAGCTATGGCCGCCAGTGAATACTCCCTATAGCTCCATCGTGTATCACTACTGCGTGATGCACGTTAAAGACCCCAGGCTAGCAGCTGTACTGCACTAGCAAAATTTCTCATCTACAGCTGGGAGACTCGTCACCTGTTGAGGCAGACCAAGTTCTAGGCTGTATAAACATAATTCTAGGTGTCCACGCCCAGCCTTGTTTCTCGGGTAGCGTGGCCACCTCGCTGGCGTCCAACGTCCGAGCCAGTCAGTCGGGGAAACAGATCGGGAAAACTTAACAGGTTTATTTTATGGAGGATTCCGTGGGTGGTGCTTCTGAAGCGACCGACGGCAACCTGACCAGCGGAGCTCTCCCCAAAGAGGAGCTTAACGTTTGGGAGCGGCAAGATGACGATTATCCCCCACACTCGAGTCCTATAAAGGGGTGGGAAACAGTTCCAAGGTCTGCAAATTGGCTGCTGGACGATCTCTGGATTGTTTAACCGCAGACATCCGGCGCCGTTTAATCCAATTCCTCCCGCCACAGTGACGGATAAATCCCCGGAAGGTCCGAAACACACATTGTCGCGTTCCGCCTCCTCGGCGCCAGCCGCGAGGAGATGTCAGAAGGGTTGACACGTGAGGGAGAGGAGTCTTTGAACGGCTCTTCCCCGGAAGCGACTGACTCCAGCTAGACTGGCAAGGCTCCGAGCGTTCGGCTAAGCCAGGGCTAACCCATCCCCCAAAGTGGCCCCAACGGCTGCGAAAATGGTTCGACGTGGTTCGACGAGCTTCCCACGCACTCACAAACAGAGGGAGATGGGGACGGGTCATGTGGCGCGGCTGCCGATATGGAAAAGGTAAAGCGGCAGACAAGAGTCTACAGCCCCTTTACAAGCCCCTTTACAATGATGATGATGATGATGATGATGCGGCTTTTCCCTTTATACCGAGCGAGCTCGAAGAGTCTTCGTGCCCTAGCCAAAAAAAAACTATAAGCTATCTGTTCTAAATTTTCTTCCACCAGTGTTCCAGACGCGCTTTCGTCCTTCGCACGCACTGCATGGTAGAAATGTCATGCCTGTCTTGTGGAGGGTCGTCTGCTTCGCCCGTGTAGGGGTTGTTTCAGTCAGCCGTCGTTTTAAAGCCCAGTGCATATGCTAGCATCGCCTCTGAGTGAAGCCGGCGATCTACCAGTGGGGTTGGCAGCAGGCACTCACAGTAGAGCACTAGGTGTTCAACTGTCTCAGGTTCTTCTCTGCACGCGCGGCACATCGTGGAAACCACCTTGGGGTCAAACCGCTCCCGGTATACCAGAGTTCGTAGAGCGCCCGCTCGCGCCTCGAACAGAAGGCGGCTGCCCAAGCTGTTGTCATAGAGCAGGGTTTCAGCCGCGATCAGTTGCTTGTTTTTACTGTACACCAGCAGCGTTGGCTTCGCTTGAGCGGCTTCAAACCACTGGAAGACTTCCCTCTCACGTACTCTGCTTCTCACTTTCGACTCCAACCTCTCGCCCGTCACTACCTCTAAGGGTTCTGCAAGGAAGCCATACTTTTTTTGGAGTTGATAAAGGCGCTTCTGCCACCTTGTTCTTGTCCCAGTCATGTGAGTGTATACAAAAAGTTTTTTGTATACACTCACATGAGTATAAGCCCCTTTACAAGAGTCATGTAACGGGCGCCCCGCTGCGGCGAGACGCCGAAACACACTTGTCCAGAGCGATGGAATGTTCGCTCGTGCTTCTCGCGTTCCTCGGGCCACCGCTTCTTTTCTAGTCGGGTTTGAAAGCCATGTTTCGGGTCTTCGCCGCTGCAAAAGCTAAGCCCTGAATGCCAGACTCCCCGAGAAATGCCCTGTGCTACCAGATCCTCGTGCTCCCAATCTGCGACCGGGCACTCTATGGCTCTGTCATCAAACTGCCAGGCTTTGTGAGTATAGAGAAGGCTATGACACATGTTACAACCCAATTTTTTTTTATCAAATACTTTTTTACGTGAATTACAGTACACTCTCCTTATTTATATTAGCCAGAACGACGGCCGTGACGAATCCTCCATTGGTGGAGTGGTTTATTTGGTACGCCTCTCACTCCTTGAATGAGGGGCGTTCCTTGATACATTCCTTGCACGTAGAGGCATTATGCAGTATATGAAATATTGGCCAGAACAAACCAACATATGTGTAAACTTCGTAATCGTGGAGGTGTTGAGCTAGGAATTAGTATTTTTAACTGTCGAGTACATGAGTCGGTGAAGCAGTCACCAGGGTCATGATTCCTCTATCGTGCGTCATTTATTACTGTAGTAATCTTTAAGGATGCCCGAGCACCTAAGTATCGACCGAGGCTATAAAGACTGTTCGGCGCCTAAGAAAGCGGGAACAGCGGCCGTAGCTAGCCGCCCATGGGCGCGGTGCGCCGAGGCACGGAGGTCTAAGCCATGGCATTGGCTCAGGCTGGAACCGGCGAGGGCCGTAGCAGGCCGCGCCGAGACGAAATGAATAAGACGACTGATCGGGACGAAATCCCAAACAGCAACTAAGTGCACTGAGCGCGCGCCCTCTTTGTATTCAGAAACATGACGTCATATGCTGAAGCCACTGCATGACAGCACAGCAGCGTCATCTCCGAACGATTCAAAATATCATATTACATATTCCCTCTCCCGAGAAAATAAGGAAGAACGTATGGCGCAACATAAGATAAATAAATGAAAGACGTTTCCAACTCCCTGTAATTCCGAATTAGAGCGCAGCGCTTGAGAAGGAGAAGGGGATGGTACGGAGAGGAGGGTATGACCCGCCTCCGAACCCTCTCCTCCTCCCCTTTCTCCCTTCCTCGCCCCTCGTGGCGTCACTCGTGAAGGTCGTGACCTTTACGAGTGACCTTCGGGATGTCACTCGTTACCTTCGTGACGTCACGTGTGACGTCATTATGGAAAACGTCCCATAATGCAGCGCGCGGTTACGCCGACGGCGACAGCGACGCCGCTCAAGCCGGAAACGGGCGCCTGAGAGCTGCGCTATAAAACTACATAATAACAAGCAGGTGACACTTCAAAACACTTCAGTCCACACTATGTCTTTTTCCGGTCCTGCTCCTTTTTTAGAGCGCAGCTCTTAAATGCCCGTTGCGGCGTATAGCGGCATCGCCGTCGGCGTAACCGCTCTGCTAAATTTAGCACGAATTGCATTGATGTTGAGGTCACGTGACGTAAATTTTCCCTCTCAGTCTACCGGAAACTGAATTTGTTCATGGGTAGCGTGACAGGAATCCATATGACGAATGATTTCCCCGCTAAATTTAGCTCGGAAACTGAATTGGTGTTGAGGTCACGTGGCGTCATTTTCCAGCTAGATTTAGCGGGGAAACTGGGAACATGGGAGGGTATGGACGAGGAGGAGGGGAAGACGAGGACGAGGAAAGGAGGAGGCGGAGTAGATAATGAAGAGGGGAGGATGGGAGGAGGCGAGGGGAGTAGAAAAGGAGGGGAGCGGAAGGAGCAAAGGAGGAGGGGAGGAGGACGGATGGAGGAGAGGAGGATGGAAGGGTACGGAGGAGGTGGAGGGGCATACCCTGCCCTCCATATCTTCCCCTCCTCCTCCTCGAGAGCTGCCCTCTAATTTCGAATTACAGAGATTTGCAAACGTCTCATATTTTTTTAGATCAAGAAACTGAACTACCTTTTTCCCTTATCTTAACAAAAAAAAAGCTGATTTGACGTTGATATTATAGACAAAGCTTATAGCTTTTTGGTAAAAGACTACTGTTGAATATCCTCAACAAAACACTTACAAGATAGAGGAAATAAGACATATCTGCATAAATCTCAATATCTCCTAGAGACAGAGAAAAAATTACCAGTTCAAAGCGTAAAATTATGTGCAACAAGGATTCGTAGAGCCTGAAATGAAACGGTGCGACAAATCCTAATAGTCTCGTGATTCAACACTCCACACACGAAAAAAAAGAAGTCTTTGGGTATTCCCAGTAGGACACTTTGACCTAAAAACGTACTTGTAGTTCAATTCCTTTTCGTGTTTTGCACTTGAACATTTACTGAACGCTGAACAGTGACCTTGCAAAATGTCCGCAAAAATCCCGTAAACTAGTGGCAAAAAGTGTTTGCACGGTCGCTAAAGAAATGTCAACATGTGATTATACATTAACTGAAATAGTGCTTACAAAGACATCTTATACACCATGTTCTCCAACTGTGAAATACCTGAATGGAACACTGAGTACATATGTACCATAGAACCTTCCAAATGAGATGGGAGAGTTTTATTTCTTTTTGTCAGCTCACCAGGCTTACTCACACAACTCTAGTCGCTGTCTCTTTCGATCGGTGGTGTTGATGAAAGTGTGCCAAAAGAACAGAAGAGCTGTGTGCCCGTAGTGGCAATGTCAACTGCCCTGTATGGATGTGGTGTAGCTCAGGGCTTGA